GTCTTGAATTGAAGTTTTTCTGATGAGCCGTTGCTGGAGGGAGTGAGCGGGCGGCGGGAGAGGCTTGTACTCAGGAAGACCCGCGGCCTGCCGCTGCTGGGAGAAGGGCTCCAGCCGGGCCCCGCTGCACCAGCAGCGCCTGCTGACCTCTGGCTGGGCCCGATCCCCTGAGTCACCGCCTCGCCCCAGATTCTCGGGCCTTGGGCTCCATTATAGCTCGGTCATCTAGGCTGAGACAACCCTCTGGTTTTGGAAGGGAATTTTCCCGACGGCCACCAGTGTTCTCGGGCACCGAGTGTTGGCTGTGCCACTGCAGGCCTGCCTCCGTCCGCCGCTGGGCAGCTCCTCTGCCCCACTCCTCCCTCTCACATCCCCACCCCGCCCTCCCTGCCCCAGGGCTGGACCAGTCTCCGCAGCCCTGTGCTGCCTGTTCACCGTCACCGCCTCCTTCTTGGTGCCCCCCACTCTGCAGGGGCTCCCAGCAGTTCCTCCTCTCCAGCTAGCTGTCTTTCAGTGGCTCTTGCATGTCCCCTGGAGGAGTGGCCAGGCTTTTTGTCAAGGAGTTGCCCAGAGACTGGGCACGTGGCGCAGGACTGTTAGAGGACCTGGTTTCTCACCTCTCATGACAGGGACCATCCTGTGCACTGTGAAGTGCAGAGCAGCCCACTTGGTGCCAGTAGCACCCTCAGTTATGACAATCAGAAACACCTGCAGACGTGCCAGGCATCCCGGGGAGCACTGTCACTCTTGCCTAGGAACAGCTGGGCCATGGGCCAGGAGCTGGGGGCTGGGGGCCGGGGGCCGTGTCTCACGCTGAGCTAAGACTGCTGAACGGCTCTGAGAGGTGGCTGGCCCCAGAGGGCTGAGGGGTCACAAGATGACACCAGGAGTTGTGTGTTCAAAGAGGTGTCCGAGAGAAAGGCTGCAGTCTGTGCAGGTGGCCTGGCCACAGAGGTTGGACAGGCGTCCTGTCCTGCAGCTCCAGGGGCAGCAAGCCCCCCTACCTGCGGAGAGTCCTTGCCGCAGCGGTCGCCGCGTACTCATCCCAGGGCCTGGCTTTTAGAGCCATAAATCTTCAGCATGAAGTTCATGCAATTTCTGTGGTATGATTAATGAAAGAAAAATTGAGACGGCAGCTTCTCAACGACCAGATTGAAGAAAGTCAGAGTGACACGCGGATGAAAGTTTTCGCCTGTCACTGGCAAAGTCCCAGAGCTTCTGCGCCAGCCTGGAGCGCCACCTAGTGATCGCAGCAGGTAGAGGCGCCGTGCCCACAGGGCTCTGGGAAGGCCCTGCCTGTGCCCAGATCCTGGGGACAGGCCTGGACCTGGTTCCACGGGGACCACTCGGGAACGCTCTCCGGGGCGCTGGGGGCTGGGCAGTGCTGGGCTCACCCAGCTCGGATCCCTCTGCAGCTCCTCGCACCACGCTGGCTTAGACGTGGGAACGTGCCCGCTCTCTCTTCACGCACGGACCACCTTCTGTTACCCTGTTTGTCAAAATCCCGCTCACCCTTCAGAGCCCAGCGAGCCCTGTCAATACCACCTTCAAAATCGCTCTCAAATTGCCCTGTCCGGCTGCTGCTCCTCACCTGCTGCGTGTCACCGCCAGCTCTCACCTAACCATGGTGGCCTCCCCACTGCCCCCTGGCGTCCACTCCCACCTCCGATGGGCTTGCTCCAGAGAGCCAGAGCCGCCGGAGGGGACGGAGACAGAGCAGTCGCCGCGTCGCACTAGGGGCTTCCCTTCGCACTGGGGCCTCTGCACTGCTCGTACCTGAAGGTCCCGTCCATTCGGGCCCTGTCTGCCCTGCCTGCTGGCCTCTCACCACTCGCCACCCCACTGGCTCTGTCGCAGCTGCGCGTCAGCCCGCCCGTCCTTGGCTGGCCAGGCTCTTCCTCCTTTGGTGCTTTTCCCTGTTCCTTCTGTCTTGAAGAACGTCTCCCCAGATATTTACCTGGCTCACTGCTCCTTCATTTGGGTCCCTGCCCAGGGGCCACCACTTCCATGAGGCCTCCCCTGACTGCCCTGCCTCAGTTACTGTCTCGCTCCTACGCTGCCTCGCCTTGTCAGGCGCATACCAGCCCCTGAACTTCTGTCTGCTCCGTGCACGCGAGGTGTGTGTCCCCAGGGTGAATCCAGGGGCTTCGCAGTGCCATTGACCGCCGCTCCCCGGCACCTGCAGCACGGCGGGGCCTTAGTAAGCTGGTGCTCGCTCTGGGTGTGTGGGCTGAGCGTGCGGAGGAGAGGCTGTCACTAGTGAAGCCCCGCCACCCCTCCTCCGGCATGTGGCCACCGCGCTCTGCCTGTCCGCCGGGGCCTCGTCTGAGCCACGGACGGAGGGCAGCTCGAGAGCCGGGCCGTGCTGGGCGCTCTGATCCGGGCCGTG